CTGCAAACCATTTCCAAAAGCTTCTGAGCCACAGGATAAGATTATTCAGCACCAACCCTACTTCTAGGTAACATTCTTTTGTTAGCTTTTTCATCGCTGTGACCAAAACACCAACAAAAACAATTTAGAGGAGGAGAGTTTACTTGGGACTTATGGTTTCAGAGTTCTCAGTCATTAGATGACCAACTCCATTGTTCTGGGCCCAGGGGAGGCAGCACAACATGGGGAAAGGGCCCAGTGGAGGAAAGCAGCTCAGCTTATGACAAGTTCAAGAAGCAGAGGGGTGGGAAAAGGGCCACAGTGAAGAACAAACCTTCCAAGACATGCCCTCAGTGATTCACCTCTTCCAGCCACACCTACCTACAGATACCACCCAGTCAGTCCATTGACACTAGGGTGGACTGATCTCTCACAATGCAATCATTTCACCTCTGAATGAATACTCCATGGGAGCTTTGGAAGGACATCTCATATCCAAACCATACAGTATAAAACCACACAAACTTACTATCTTACAGTTGCCCAGGTGAAAAGTCTGAAATGAGTGTCATTAAATGAAAACTGGGTGTGTGACAGGGTTGTATTGCTTTTTGGCAACTACAAAATCTGTCCTCTCCTTGCATTTTCTATCTTTAGAGGCTGCCTTCATTTCTTGGCTTGCACTTTCTCTATTTACTAGGTAGCTACCTGTGTTGAGTCCTTTTTACAATGTTTCATTTTAAAGGTGAAAGATACTTAGTAAACTGAAGTTTTAAAAAGCAAGGAAAATACATAAAGAAATGCCATGATCCAATGAAGCACAAAACACTATCCAACTTTTTTACTAAAAATAAAGATGTCAATAGGATAATGCTCCTCAAAAAGAGCTCCTCCACTCCTCAGTTTAAATTAGGTAATCTCCAGATTTAAACTGTTGAATTAGCTATGCCCCTTGGAGGGAAAATAGTAAATTCAGATGAAGTAGCCTGGTTGCTAACTGCTAGAAACAACTTCAGCATACATGTACGAACTCTTTGGCACCCAAAAGCCAGAATCAGAGAAGAGCTCTACCTAGAAAATTTAGCAACTAATCAAAGTGACATAAAAGTTCTATCACATTAACAAAACTGGAATGCCCTGAATAAACAAGAAGCCATTTCTGGGAAGTCCTAAATTTAGACTCATAAGACAAGCAACTGGCTCAAGTCACATGTGTCCAGAGTTATCTGGATGAGTTAAATCACCTATTTGGTCTTTTTCATCTCCTGTGTAAAATAAAGAAGTTAATCTGAATTACTTGCTTTCAAATTCTACTGTAATTCCCAGTAACAAATACATTGAAATCCTGAGAATCCATGTATCTGAAACAAAAATGCAGGCTACTAGTCACCTAATTGCTAATTCATAAACTGCCATTTGAAAAGCACTTATTGTGTTGATGGATCTCTATAATTACTTACTTAAAACAATAAAAGGGGAATGGTATTTTTCTTAAAAGATGGGAGGGGCTGGGCACAGGCAGTAAAATACAAGAGTAATAATGCAAACACATTTTTAAATCATGGAATGTGACCACAGTTCATTATTTTTTATTAACAGTTAACATTACATTCAGTACTGTGACCACATGGAATTCCTCTATCAGACAACTTTGGCGTGAGAACTTGCCATCCAGCTACTTAAGATTTCTTAAAATAGGACAGCAGTTTGATATTCTCTTAATCTTTTTGCTGTGAGAGTTAAGAAAGAATACAAATACCATTTGTTTTTATTCTTTAATATTTCTGAGACAAATGGGTATTATGAAAAAATGCCAACTCCACCCTCCTTCACTCCATCCTGGTTATACACATATATAACTACTTATTGTGAAAAGCCTAACATCTTTCATATGACCACACTGTTATCTATAGCTTGTCCTAAACTTGGCATTTTTTTTTTTTTACCCTTAGCTTTATCATTAGCCATTTTTCCTCATCTGTACTCTTGGAAGCAAAATTTTTTTTCTCTGCATTCCATCTTGTTTTGTGTTGAATGATGTTTATAACTTGTCCCTCACATAACAACTATTTATCTCTCCTAGTAGATGATAAGTAAAAAGATTCTTTAACTTGTCTAATTTATAATGCATATTTATATCCACCAATCTTTTATCTTCACAAACTGAGGGACAAAAAAAATCTAGATTTATTTAATGTCAACTGTATGTTGGGCTGTGTGTTTGAGGACATATATACACATACCTACATATATATATATATCTCAACTCACTTAACTCTCAAAACAATCCTGTGGATCCATTTTACATGTGAAAACTCACAAAGGTTCTGTAAGTTATTCGTATCAGAAGCTGTTTAAAAAGAATGGCTGAGAATTTTTACAATTCTGGTCTTGTTCTTTCCACTATGCAAACATGACTTTGTCAACCAAAGGGGAAGACAAAAATACATGTAAATTTCACTGAAGACAGTTTCTCTAGTACGCTAGAATTGGCCTATTCAGGTAATACTTGGGAATCAACTAAAGTTAGAGAATTTTAAAGTGGAAGGGACAATACAGATTATCTAATCAAATTCCTACATTATATATGAGAAGTATGATTCCCATAGGAACAAATTTCCTTTAGCATATAGTTTGTACTGAGCCAGGATTAAACCCAGTTAGAGGAAGTATAGCAAAGTGGTTAAAATTATGACCTCTGGAGTTAGACACATTGGTTCAAATCACAGCTCTGGCATTTAATGACTGTGTATAAACTAGTATGATTTATAAAGCTTATCTTTGTCTCACTTTTTTCAGCTATAAAGGGATAGTAATACTTACCCAATAGGGCTATGAGAAATAAACCTTATACTGCAAAGCAGAAAGTAAGCACTCAATATTTCTTTTTATGAATGAATGTGGAGTGGACACAGCATTGTAGGGTCAAGGTAACAATAAATAAGCATTCATTGATTTACATGGTAATTTCTTTTAAACAATACATATACAAACACTTTTGGTAGATAAGTAACATTTTTAAAAGGAATCACATAATAAATGTGCTAGATGGTATGTACGATATGATGAACAATGGAGACAATCTCAACCTTCCTAAGGACTCAAATTTGATAGAAAGCAAAATATCTCTGAGATCTTCCTGTTGTATATGTAAAAGCATATACCTTTCACATGGTTAAGTAACTGGAATGTACTCAAATGCACATCAGTATTTTGTTATTTGTATATACATAGTGTCTTTCTGTGAAACAAAATATTCTGTAGAATTAAGTTGTCATTTCTAACATTGGTCAGTTCTACAAGATTTTAGCAAATTTCCAATCCTCAAATTTTTAATTCTCTACATAAAATAGGATATTGGAATGGGCAGGTTTAATTAGGCATACTTCTTTAACATGTGAATTAATGACCATGTTTCTGAGAATTTTTAGCTAAAATAGAAAAGTTTTGCTAATAATCACTAAATAATAATTATTTACAAAGTATTAGAAAGCTTGATTTTATTTGAACTTATTCATTCTTTCTACATATGCACACACACACACAAATATATAATTGTATACAGATATGTGTGTGAAAAGCTGCCCTCAGAAGCAACTGACATTTTTGACTCAGAGTTGCCAATATGCTATTGGTCTCTAGATCTTTTGCTTTTGTTCTACGTACTATACTTATGTACAATGTAGGCATTTGATTGACTTAGGTTGATAAAATGGGCCAATAATCAATATAGAAATCACATTACTCAAATGTGGAAATTACCTAGGTTAATGAATGAACTCCTTAAATCCCTTTATCTTCAACTTGTGCTATACACTGACTTCTAAATCTGATATACTATTTATACAATTTTGCCTGAGAGTGGAAAAAAAAAAGATTCTGTTAGGTTTATATTATGAGAGAAAAACACACAATGCAACAATTTACAGTTCATTCCACAGGAGAGATAAAAACCATATGATTAAATAAATGGCAATATTTGGGTCAATGAGAAGATTTTAAAAATTGGTTGAATTATTAACCCACCAGAAAGTTAGAAAATATCAATGTGCTGTCTTATATATGGATGCATTACTCTCAAAAGGGAATAAGGCATATGTGATTTCCAATAGAACATACTGTGTTTTTCTATATGGTAGAGTACTCCCTAGAATTCTGGAGTATGGAATGGGTTCTTTTTTTTTTTTTTTTGGTAGTGGGGGAGTGCTGCCATTAATGGGGGAAAAAGGTGATTACTGAAATATAAGGTGTTGAGAACTACTTACCTGGACAAACTGCATTACTCACAAAAAGAGAAGTTGCCAAGGTTCACTACACCAGATCTTTCAAAATAAATGAGCTCTTTTCCTCACATTATCCCTTTGTCAGAAGCAATTTCTCTTTACAACTATTTTGGCTACTTTAGACGTTCATCCCTGAGTTCTAAATTATTGAAAAAGCTTAGAGCACATTCCTTTCTAAAAGTATATCTACCTCTCGATCACTAGTTTACAGAAGGTAAAACGTCCATCCAAAGCCCACACATGAAATCATAAGCTTGTTGTCCTATCTCATTAGTTCACAGCAGCCATGAAAACAAAGACCATTCTCCTCACCTAATCAAACTGCAGCGGAAATGTTCAAATAATTCTAGTTTAGAAATGACCCTCCAACCCACACCTAATAGGTCCTTTTCAATCTACAGCCTCCTTCCCAGGCTTGGCATCTCAGAACTATTGAAACACAACTTTCCATAATCGAGGGTGATCAAACCCTGCCAATGGAGAAAGTAAGGACTCGGCACTAAGCCGGGTCGCGATACACAGTGTCCATGGCCTCGAAGTTGAACACAGATACTGCAAGTGAAGAAGATGGTAAGCAGGGATCCCGGGGCCTTTTCCAGGCTCAAGAATGGTTAAGAACCCCGGAGATGGACGGGACTCCAATTTTATCCCTCGCCCACTCACTTTTAGATCGGGCTGACTGAGCCCCAGTTGGTCGGAAAAAACAGGTCCAAGAGACAACCCACAAAAATCACTTACCAGTCTCCCAACTCCAGCACGTACCAAGCCGGAAACTAACCCGAGCTGGCCACAGTCAAGCCCTGCACTACCTCAGACCACCCTGGCGACTGCTCCAGAGCGTCACTAACAACCACCCGGAAATGGTACAACCTCTTCCGGGGCTGCCAAGCGCGCGGCGGGAAATTATTTCCCAGAGCCCGGATTAGTGAAGCAGCGAATGCTGCAGCGGTAATCGACGCCGCTGCTGCCGCCGCCAACCGAGAAAAGCAGCCCAGACACTCCGGCCGGGAAGGTAAAGGGCCTCACCTCGGAAGACTCAGTTTACCCTGCCTCTGTGGGAACGTTTTGTCCCAATCTGTGCCTCCGAAGTTTCTGCTGCCCCCAGCTGGGAAGGGACTGGGTTGAGCAGTGGCAGCGCCTGGCTCTCGCGCTTTCCACAGTCGCGATTCCGTCCCACTCTCCCGACTAGCTGCGCTCAGCGCCCGCGTTGGTAGCCTGCAGCTGCAGACCTGGCCCTGCTCCCCCCGAGCTCCTCGCGAAGCGCCTCTCTGCAGTGCAGGATTGAGTGCTCCCCTCGCCTCCCGCTTGCGCAGCTCCGCGGCCGGTTTCCCCTCCGGGAAGGCGCTAGGCCGCCCTCATCTCTGGTTTCCATAGAACCAACTGGGACGCCTCACCCTGATCCCAGATTCTTGGCTGCTTTCCATAACTTAGCGTCAGTAAATGTAGTAGGGATCCTCCAGGCCTACCTTCCTGTGACAAGGAAAATAGTGTCATTCTTTTTTTCCTTGTTGATTTTTTAAACACATGGCAAAGAGCTTATCTCTGCAGCTGCTGTAAGGCCTTTAAACAAACATAAATACACCTTGCCCTAAAGGGAGGATCCCTGTTCCTGGGAATTACCTCTCAGCTGACTGAAGGCTGGGAACAAGACTAAGTGAATGTCTGGAGATTTCTTCCACTTCTAAAGCCTCTGATTAAATACTGACAAAATTGATATCAGTATTTGAACCAGAAGGTAGATGAGGCTTGATTTTTAAGGCCTCAATTTCTTTTTGACAAATATTGACTATCCTCTGCAAACAAACAAAAATTTTCCGTTGAAACATTGAAAATGACATTTAAACTGGATTTACAGTATATGTATGACAGACATTGCCCCTTGTGGACTTTTTGGTTTGTGTTACTCACTTATGCCTCAGTTCCTAGAAATATGTTGATGTGCAAGGAGTTTGCCAAAACCTCTATATTACAGGTCTTCAGTACATAAACTAATATTTTGAGATGGACTTATATGAGAGAGGGCATTTGATTATTCTACACTAATTCAGTGTATTAATAATCAGCTACAGTGTTGAAATCCTTGAATGTTTTAATACATTTATTGTAAAGACGGCCTCCAAAAATGCAAATAAGCCTCTATTACATCCCTTTTCTATGTCCATATTTTCTAATGCCTGTGAAGTTCAATTAAGGGATTTAACATTTCTTGCTTTCCTAAAGCAGAAAGGATAAATAATTTGAAAGTCTTTGAAAGAGTGAGCAATGTGGTTACTTTTCACAAACTTCAGAACTCTTTTAAAAGATTTTCTTCTAGATATCCACAATTTCCAGCGATGTCGTAAAACACTGATATTTACAAAACCAAAAGTATAGTGGTATCAATTAGACAATATTTTTAATGTTATATAAATCTTGATTATATTCTAAGATAGCCTTTTTCATGATTTAAAAGTCTGTAAATAAAATAACAATTCAGTGTAAGTTCTAAATAATAAAATCTAAAGACACTGGAGAATCCTCTGTCTTAAAATATAACTAAAGTAGAACATTACCTGTTTCTTGACTTTTTGGATATACTAGTAGAAAATAAATGCTGTAAAATGTTGTAGGTACTTTTTGACATAAGGAAATATTACTGCTTAAAATTAAATATCTCTGAAACTTTTAAATACATGTAGTTTTTACTTTCTGACAAAATTTGAAATTAAAGATATACTGTTGTTATTTTTGATAAGGAAGTAGACCCATTTGAATATCCCTTGATTAATTGATCCCAAATTCATTTTGAGAAGAAAGTTATACAAACTTTGTTTCCAATAAGAAAAAGTAATGACACTTTTCAGATTTTTTTCATAGAAATATGGTGAAATTTTAGGTATTGGTATTATTTTCCAGAAAATAATTTATAAATATGTTTATGTTTTCAATTTTGCTGATCTAAATGTCTTCCCAGCCTTGTAGTGGATTCCTTTTATGCAGCATGCCTTTCTTTCATGCTATGAAAAATGAATTGCTTTTAAAATTATAATGCAGTTAAGAATATCAGGCTAAATTCTGAAATTTGAGTCAGAATGGTTTTGTAAAAAAGTCATATCATTTTTGCAGAAACAGGCTTTTGTTTGAATATTGGTTTATGGATTTACTAGTAGTGTGTGTGTGTGTGTGTGTGTGTGTGTGTGTGTGTGTGTTGCTGAGGATTGTACCCAGGGCCTTGTCCAGGGTAGGAAAGCACCCAGCTCCTTAGATTCTTAATTAGTAATACTTCTCAGTGTCCTCATCTGTTTGACAAGGATAAATAGCACTTATGCTGTGAAAAAGGAAATGAATTAACAGATGAAGTGCTTAGACCACAGTATGTCCTCTGTAAAAATTAGAGTGCAGTGGCACATGACTGTAATCCCAGTGGCTTGGTAGGCAGAGGCAGGAGGACTGCAAATTCAAAGCCAACCTCAGTAATTTAGGGAGACCCTGTCTCAAAATAAAAAATAGAAGAGGGCTGGGGATAGGGCTCAGTGGTTAAAGTGACTCTGGGTTCGATCCTTGCTACAAATAAATAAATAAATAAATTTTAAAAAATTCTGCTTGTTCAGCTTTAGGATTATACTCCTCCTCCCAAGTAATCCAAAGTTTCTAGGACACCTAAGCAGGTTTGGTGAACAGTATTTACTGTCCATCCATTTTTTTGCCCTGAACCGTGTTCCTTTTTCTTTTCTTTTTTTTTTTTGGTGGTGCTGGGGATTGAACCCAAGGCTTTGTTCATGCAAGGTAAGCACTCTACTGACTGAGCTATGTCCCCAGCCCTCCGTGTTACTTTTTCAACCTGCTTCATTATGAAGCCTTTTTCTCTAAAGTAGCATTGCCAATCCAGCCTGTACCATATACACTATACACTATTGGATAGATTGAATGATTCTGTTATCTCAGCCTCTCATTTCTTCCTCACCACAGTCACTTTGTTGCTAATTCTCTATTTCCTTCCTGTACTACTAAATTTACCATCAAAGGGACTAATGACTGCTCTTTCTTAAATAATGCCATTGAGGTAAGAACATCTCTCCAGGTTTCATCACTGGCTGTCATATAATTAATATGTTTAGATCATATCCTTGAAGGATGGGCAGGAGGTAGACATCTTTTAAACCAATTCCAAAGTCCCCCTGAAAGAAATTAAACAAAGGGCCTAGTTTGGCTCCTAGGCCAAGAGGGACCAGAATCTTTAACTCTCCTTGAAACCATAGTGTTCAGCTTAGAAGTATTGTACTCACAGTTTGAGTACTGTAACATGTCCCTCTTTTGCAATATTGGTTAAAACAGAGATGTAATATTTTGATCTTTGCAGTTTTAGCTCATCTTTGTTTATTTTTCCAGCTAAATATTATTCGTAAAGGAAGTCATGAAAATCTTTCACAGCAATATTATTGATTGCATTTAACACTTGGTATGTTTTTCAGAAGACGGAAATTTCAAGGAATTTTCTTTAATTTGCTATAGAAGTAGATTTTAAATCAAAATAGCTTACATTCTAAAATAATGAGATTGAGAGACAACTAGTTTTCATCACATGACTTTAAAACCATGAAGAATATTAAGTGGCATGGGAAATGATCATGATAAAAATTTACATAAAAGCACAATGTAGAACTACATATCTAAATTTTGTTATATGTATATATTTTTTCACACACACACACACACACATGAAATGTGAAAGTCAATCCTGGGAAAATGTTAATAGTGGTATTACAAGGTAAAGGAATTAGAGATTATTTTAATTTTTCTATAATAAGCCTGAGTAAATTAAAATTAATTTTTTTCGGGGGGGGTTGGTTACCTGGAATTGATGGCCAGGGTGCTCAACCACTGAGCCAGACCCCCAGCCCTATTTTGTATTTTATTTAGAGATAGGGTCTTACTGAGTTGTTTAGTGCCTCCCTGTTGCTGAGACTGGCTTTGATCCTCCTATCTCAGCATCCTGAGCCACTGGGATTACAGGTGTGTGTCCGCTGGTGTGTTCATTATAATTAAAAGACAAAATCAGCTAATTTAAGTAAATTAAGAAATATGTGAATTAACTTTTAAAAAATAAGTCTCTTATTTATAATACTTATCATCAGATGGCTTTATTTTCTTTATTCTTTTTTCTTTTTTGGTACCAGGAGTTGAACTCAGGGCACATAACCAATGAATTACACCCCTACCCATTTTATTTATTTTTAGACAGGGTCTCACCAAGTTAGGGCCTTGATAAGTTGCTGAGACTGGCTTTGAACTTGGGATACACCTGCCTCAGCCTGTGGGATTATCGGCATGTGTCATTGTACCTGGCTATTTTCAAAACAAACACACACACACACACACACACACACACACACACACACACACGGTACACCCTTATTTTTACAAATAATGTTCTTTTTTTCTATAAAGACCTCTTTAAGCATTGCTGCTTCTCTGTTCTGCAGCACTTTCCTTTTTCACACAACAGTTTATTCTGCTCTTTCATCCTAGCCAAACCTTTGTGTTCTTATCTGTAGTGTTGCCTCTACTTTTCTCTGAATTACCTTTTCAGTATATTCTACATCACCTTCTTCAAACATGTCCCAGATAAATATTATATTATGTAGAATTCAAAGGACCTAAAACAATAGTGTGTAATAAAAAGCTTTGCAATTATGATGCTTGCTGTGCTATAAGTTTATTTGCATTTCTGACTGACTCTAACTGCAAAGGAATTTCAGGCATCAGGGATAGGCCCATGTGGGAGATATTTTGGGAAAGTCCACGCCACAGAAACAGTTGCTTGCTATGCCTAAATGCCAGCACTGTTCACAATAATTCACTCCTTGGTTGTCAATGATATATGGTTTAAGGTAAGTAAATTTAA